TATTTTATGACTAGATCGCCATCACCCGCTCCGCTTAGTGTATGAAATGTCTGCGTGCTACATTAGAGGTAATTTATTTCAATAAATCTCAACATACCTTAAACTATGCCAAAAACAGGAGATTTACAATTTTTTTTAACCATCGCTAAAATATTTTCAAACTAAAACTTCCTTAAACGTCTCTCTTGTGATACTTTTTCATAGAGAATGTGAATGCAAAAAAAAAACTCAATCATGTTTGATTGTACGTTTATGTGAATGCAATCTGTCATTATCATTCAGTACTAAATAATACTATTTGTTGTATCAGGGTTGAGATTTTTATACTCAAAATTTGAAACCAGAAGATTGCCATCTCCCTCAAAATAAGTAAACAAATAAATATTTGGTGCTAAAATATTTTTCTAAGTGTTTGGCCGAGCTTCTGCTCAAACTTGAGGTATGACTTCTGTTGTTGTGGCACAAATGGAGACACCTATGTACATACATATTTAAGGCTCACTCAGAACACCAAATAATTTTATAAGAAGAGTTTTCAAGGCAGAAATATACTCGAAGGTTTGCCACTGCGTGCCGGAAATGTATTTGCACTTCAAATTTGTCTTTTAATAAAGTCTTAATTAAATAAATTATTATTGTTAACTATTATTTGAATAAATAGATACAAAAATGTTTATACTTGGCAACTCTTGGACGTTTCTTCATTTGTAACAAATGACAGATGTAAACAAAATAAAAAAATAGTTGTAATTTTACAAATTTAAGGCAAACGGGCGTTCTTCACAAAAAAATGTAGTTAGGGATCGAATTGCGCAAATTTTTTTTCCAATACCAAGTGCCCCCAAGAAGTGTTAAACCACTAAATAACTTAAAAAACGCAAAACTTGTGCGTGTGTTTTACTTATTTGTAGAAATGTTGCCAAACCAAGACCCCCGCTTCCCACTGAACAGCCCCCCCTTAACTAACATGTGCTTGTTTTTGTGCACGCGCGGCCAGTTAAACAGGCATGTCTGAATCGATTTACTTCATCATTCTTAGCAATTTGATGTGCATTTTTATTGTTTTGTGTTGCAAACAGACATTTTAGGAACTAAATAGGTTCTACACAAGCGCACTTATTTTTAACAGTTTCCAGTTTATGTAATATTTATTAATCAAAACAGCTTTTATTTATTTTACGTATTTATTATGTGATTTCTGAAAGCGTCGAATACAAAACAGGGCTGTGACTGGGTTTATGTAATTTGAAATTGTATTGATGATTACTACATATCGATGGGCCTCTGCAATAACGACACAACTCAAAATTTCATATATTTCAGTAGAGCCAATTAAAGATTTTTTGTTTCGTAATTTAGCAATAATATGTCTTGGAACGTAATTATTCCGGATTATTTGCAGTCATCCTGTAAGCTTTCAAATTATGTCTTTTTATAAACTTGAAATTTTGAATTGTGCCGTTATTGCAGAGGACCGTCGACATATGTTGGTGTTTGGCCGAGCTACTCCTCCGATTGTGGCATGCGCCTTGATGTTGTCGCACAAAGGGGAGGGACCTACAGTTTTCCGCAGACTCCTGCCGGGGGCCGACCTCTATTCCAAAAAACATTTTATTTTTTTATGTTGGCCGGAACTGGGCTCGAACGCTCACCCTGCGGAATGGTAGTGCGCACAAAAGAGAAAAGGGATTTTCTTCAAAACTTTTGAATGACGTCTTGACTGAACTTACTAATTCGGAATTTCTACTATTACTTATAGAGTAGGCTATTCATAAAGTCTGGGTAATGAAATACAAATTTTTCTATTATATGTTCCACATATATATTAGGAGACTTTTATTGTTTAATTTATTTTTTGCATATAAATTTGTATCCTGAACTTCTTTTTCCAAAAAGTGAGGATGTCAAAATTTTAATAGAAGGTCTCTTAATAGATTAGTTCATAAAAATTATTCCAAACGAAAACTTAAAATTGATAAAAAAAATTTTAACTAAATTTAACTAATTTATATTAGAAGTTTTAAGTTTATCCCACTGTAAGTGTGAAATCAGTTGCTATGTGTTTCCATGACATAAAAAACCACCTGCCAATTAAGCATTTTGTAAAATTTCATGCTACCATACGCAGCATCTAAAATTCTTCAAATTTTATTATTAATTTTTCGTTTGTTTAAAAACATTTTATTCTTAGAATCGAAATTTTACCAAGCAAAATGGCTTGGCTAAATGTTAATACAACTGTTTTATATATAATCCCAAATTTATGATATAAAATCCCCTCTACCAAAAAAACTTAAATTGGGTAACACCGCTTCGAATTTTTACAATTGAGCAATTGTCTAAAATCTGCCTTTTTATCAAAAAGTTGTTTACCAGCGTATCTTTGAACTAATGATTGGTACTGAATTAAAGAATGCACACACATAAAAGATTGCAGCCATTTCAATACTCATTCCGAGTTAAACCTTTTTTTTTTGATTTGCCATTGGTGTTTTCCATCTTGCTATGAATGCTGTTGATGTGTGAATTCATAATGGCTTTGAGTGAATGGAAAATTTAAATAATATAAACCTCAATCTGAAGCGAGGAAATAAAATGGAAATAAAGCCTTTTCAAAACTTTCAATTAATACCTACTTTTGATGTAATAACTCATTTAACTTATAATATAATTGTATTTGAATCTAGTTTTAAACCAGCTCTGGTAACTCTCCTCAAATATTTACCTCAGAAGATTCTACATTTTCAAGCTAAACATTTCTAAGCACTGTTACGTTTGACACTTTAATTTGAGTAGAATTAATTTAAATTCGACTTTTAAAACAGGTGGCAACCCTCTCCAAAATATTTTCCTACTAAAACTTTATTAAACCCCTGTGGTCTTACACCCATATTGCGATACATATTCCAATTATCTAATTCCTTTAATTCAATTAGAATTTGATTTTTCAAACAGGTGGCAACAGCCCCTTATGTAAAACCCTTTTCAAAAATAGTTCGGTTGAGCCCCATATTGCAAAAATTCATTTAAATTGATTGAATTTAATTGTTAATCTCCTCAATAATAATTTAAATGTTCAATGGAGGTTTCTTAACAATCCTTCCCTTGGCACCCATATTTTAATTTTTCAGATAACTTGCGCATAATTAATTTAAATTTAAATTATCAAACAGGTGGCAAGCCTTTTCAAAATATTTTCAAACTATAATTTTTTAAGCCTCTTGGTATCCATTTCAAATGGATTTGGTGGCAGCCCTCATCCATGAGTGTGGAATTGATTTTAAATATCTCCATACCAAGTTCCAGTACTCTATCACAAATATGTATTTCTAGTGATATGCAGTATGAAAAATTCCGTATGTATGGGAGGTGCCACGCCCCCTTGTACAATCGAAATTAACAGCCAATTTCTCGAAAGCAGTTTAAGTGTTTTAAGTTGGGCTAAACGACATCAGTGTAAAAAATTTCATGATGATCGGTTGAGTAGTTAAAGCGTTAAAGTGTAGCAAATAAACAAACCAACTTTCGGATTTATAATATTTTTAAGGATTAAAGATAATCGCCCTTTTAACTCTGTCATAGTCAACTTAAAATGCACACAAAAACATAAAAACAGAGTTTTATTTTGAAAATTAGGAGAACGTGATTTTAAAATGCTATATGATTCTTAAAAATATTATTTTATTTTTGTTATAGTTATAAATATTATTTTATTTTATTTTCCTTTTTTTTGTTTATGGTATTCCACATAATTTTTTCAAGTTAATCTAAATTTATAATTTTAATTAAAAAGGTCACAACAACTATATTTACATAAAAAAAAGCAAAATGATAATTAAAAGTGCAAAAAACGGTACGGCTTGCTAAATTCGCAATACTGTCGCGGAAACAGGGTGAACTCATTAAAGTACTATATTTCTTTATAATGCCGAGTAAATTTTTTCTCTTCATATGGATGACTTCTGTTCTCTCTCATATCTTAACAAAAAGCTGTTTCTACGATGTCTATGATTGACAAAACTTAAAAATTTATTTTAAACTTAAAACTGCATTTTAACAAGAAGGAGTTTTATCTTCCGACTGTGACTATGACCAATATATTTTTGTAGCAGCTTAAGACAAAAAACCAAGTATTTTTTAAACAAAAAATACAACTTAACCAAAGTAGTATCTGACCACCCTTGAGGTACATACCACCTTTCCGATAAAAAATAATTATCGATCACGGTTCAGTTGTTCCAAAGTTATGCGGTGACATTCAGTAAATAAAAAAAGAAATATTCCCATGAATTGATAATCTTCCTCCTTGTTTTGTAGGCGGTTAAAAAATTTGATATTTCCTTGTTCTCTGAGTAAATTGCATAAGTCTTGATTGAGGTCAAAGAAAAAGTAGTACCTTCGAAATACATGCAATGTACTATTCAAATAAGCTTTCCTCAATGCCTTCGTAAGAAATATCAATTCTGTCGCTGATTTATTCGTTGCATTTGCTTTTGAACATCTTCTTTAAAATGACACTAATCGGATTCAGAAACTTTTGCAATTTAAAATTTTAAATTCTTACTTTAAAGCCACTTTTTATTTGCTTCTTTAAGGCCATTAGTTATGCAATGCCAGCAAAAAAGTAGCCATTGCAACAAGCAAAGCAGAGACATCAAGAAGGCGTGTTCAGCACCAGAGCCATCCACCACACCAGCTGTCTCTAAGCGCCACCATTTTAGCTAACGCTCGAACACGTCTCAGCATTTTAGCTCCGCCTACATAGAAAATATGGCAACTATGACGTCATTCACGAAAATTCATGGGGAGCTTTGATGCTCCCCAAATTGCTGAAAATCGCAGAGTAAGAGCGGGAGGGAGCTCCACCATACGCGCAACGCAAACCGACGATGCTTGTGGGCGGCTTTGTGGGTGACTTTGCTTTTGTCTTTGAAAAAAAAATGAAATCAATAATCACATTGCATTCGTTTGGTCGACGATGTCGCCACGAAGCTTAAACACGCATACGCATACACACTCAAGGCAAGGCAAGGCAAAGTGCCCTAGCAGCCATTTTGAAAAATCGGCTTCTTAGGCAACTCGAACAGATGCTCTGGCACATAGCGCCGCCGATCGTCAGACAGTGAAGCTGTATTCGCGTTCTGTCCGTCCTGGCTAAACGTAGCTTTTACTGGTTGAGTTGATATCAGAACAAATCAGACAAATCCTGAGCTGAGCTAGAAAGGACTAAGTGTGTTTTTGAAAATTCGGTAGAATTAGTTTGTGTGAAAAATTGAAATTCGTGGAAAACGGTTCAAAACGTGCTTGTGCTTGAAAACATTGTAGCTGAAGTATCCATTTCGAAAACGTTGTAAGATAAATGTAGAAAACGCAAACAGCAAAAAAAAATTAAAAATATAAAAAATTAGCAAATAATCACAAAAGGAAGTGTATCCCTGTAGTTGTTGCTGTATATTTACGTAATTTAAGCCCACGCTCCACGCTCTACCATCAGCAATTTGAAGTAGTTAAGACATCACCAATACTACCGCATCTCGCAGACACTTCGCAACAGTCACCAGTCAGTCACTTTCTTCATAAAAATCATATATAGTAAACCAAAAAAAAAAAAAAACAGTCAAAGTGATTTTCCTAAGGCAATACATCGAAGACCTCCGCAAGATTATTGGTAAGCAGGCTGCACCAATACATACATACCGACATATGTACATACACACGCATAAATTTATATTGCTAATTTTTTTTAGTTCCATAAATTAAGTGGGAAAAGTGTGAATTCTAATTTCCCTTATTCAGAAAATTATTGATTACATAATCGTCTAAAGCTTGTCCTCACTGTGGCACTGCCTTGAAAATTTCGAAGTTCCTTCTGGCAGAGGCTTGGCGCAACTTGCAGCGCGCAGTTGCAAAGCGACATTTCATTAAACACTTTCAACATGCACGCATACATACACATCTACATATGTACATACACATACCCCGGTTTTTTCCCCCCCCCCCCCCCCCCCCCTTTTTCCGATATAACAAACTTTTCAGCTGCCATTACGTAAAGTTCAAGTTTTTACAGCACTCTACCCATCTCCTTCTCTCCTAGTTGCACGGAAGTGGATTTTTGCGTGTCTTCACCAAATGCGCATTTCAAATTTGTCCTTCAGTTGTCCTTCGCTACTCGATTATCCGAGCCACTTGCATCGATTTTGTCTTTCCACAACCCATAAAGAACTCCAAACTCTGAAATTGTAAACTGTACGGAGGCTTGAGACCTCCACTTTTCTTAAAATTTCTTCTTCTTCTTATTTGGCGCTGTAATTTGGCTTAAAATTTGTATTCATTTTTTCAATTACACTGTAGAGAAAATCTCAAGTTTTGAAATGACACAATAAACGCCGATACACTTACCATGGTTGTACTCTGACATGTTCCTCATGGCGTATGAGTAACATTTTCCATGGTTTGAATTTTTCTCCATTCGAAATTTTTCAGAACTTGAGGGTGATACATATGTATATGCAGAGCTGGGTAAATGCAATTACATTACAATTACAATTACATTCCTCAGTAATTGTAATTAGGATTCAATTCCTTTAGTTCACTGCAAAGGAATCGATTACTTTTTCAATTCCTTGAAGTAATTTCAAATGGAATTGTTTTTTCTTTAATTCCATTACAAGGAATTTCATATTGTAATTGGAATAAATTACGTGCTAGTAATGTAATTTCTTTTATTTCAATTCCTTTGAAAGGATTTGAAAATGTAATTTTTTTTCTAATTCCTTTGAAAGGAATTGAAAATGTAATTGATTTTTTTCCAATTCCATTCCTCGAAGTAATTTAAAAAGTAATCGAAAAATTTATAAAAAAAAAATTTTTTACTGTTGAATTGCAATAGCTTTGTTAAATTTCCTGCTAGTATTTCATACAAAAAAATTATTGCACTTTCACTTAACCCTTGCAAACTTGTTTATTTATCCATCGATTTTCATCGGTAGTAGTGTTTTAACCCGCAAAACAAGCAGAGTTTGGCTAGTCTGTACTAATATATATTTTGAAAGGCGTTTTTTTCTGTTCGCAAAGCTCGAGAAAGTCCGTACCGATTTTTTTGAAATTTCGGAATCTACTGCAGGCTTTCCAAGGATGGTTATAGCTAAAAAAAGTTTCGATATAGAAAGGGGGCGTGGCACCTCCCATACAAACCGAATTTTTCAAACTCCATATATTTGTGGTAGAGGACTAGAACTGGGTATGGTGATATCTATATACATATATAAGACCAATTCCATACTCATGGAGAAAAATTTGCATGGTTGGAGAATGGCGTGTGGCACCTCCCATATAAACCGAACTTTTCATATTGCATATTTCTGGAAGTGTTCATGGTAGACTGTAAGCCTTTTTAAAACTCTTTAGTTTGACACCCACATGTCAACATTGCATTTACTTTATCAATTTAACTGAGTTACAATCTCCAAATAGGTGGCAGCCCCCTCAAAAATATTTCCAACAGTTATCTTTCTCAAACCTTTTTAATTTGATACCCATATTGTAATATTTTATTTATTTTATCAATGTAATTTAGTTAAATTTTCAAACAGATGCCAACCCTCCTCAAACATATTTTCGGCAGTAAGCCTTCTTAAAACTCTTTAGTTTGACACCCACATGGCAATATTTAATTTTTTTAACCATTTGACTGAGTTTAAATTTTCAAATAGGAGGCCACCCTCGTCAAAAATACTTCCAGCAGTTATCTTTCTTAAACCTCTTTAACTTAATACCCATATTGTAATAATTCATTGATTTTAAATTAATTAAATTTTAAAATAGGTGGCAACCCACCAAATTTTTGCGATATCATTGGTTCTGGTATTATACCGAATAATAAAAAAAATATTATTCAAATCGGTTCAGCCGTTCTCGGGTTTTGATGACCGTGACATACGAACACAACATTTATATATATATATATAGATATACATAGAAGATGTCCAATGTGTGCTTTCGATTTTAATCTTTGACCACAACAAAAATTCCACATTGTATATTCGTGAATGAACTTTCAGTTTCTCGATTACTTTTACAATTCCTTTGAGTAATTGGAAAAACTAAAGTACTCTTGCAATTCCAGGTAATGGAATTGAAAAAAAATCAATTACATTTTCAATTCCTTTCAAAGGAATTGGAAAAAAAAATTACATTACTAGCACGTAATTTATTCCAATTACAATATGAAATTCCTTGTAATGGAATTAAAGAAAAACCCAATTACATTTGAAATTACTTCAAGGAATTGAAAAAGTAATCGATTCCTTTGCTGTGGACTGAAGGAATTGATTCCTAATTACAATTCCTTGTAATCTGTAATTGGGAGTAATTTAATTCCTAAAGGAATCATTACGACCCAGCTCTGTGTATATGATACCAAAGTCGAGTTAAATCGACTTGTTGGCTAAAAAATGTTCCAAAAATTTAGTTAAGTCAATTTTGATTGTAATGATTACCTTTTAAAGCTCTAAAAAAATATCGATACATTGCGGAGCTTTCTGGTTTTCACACGAAGCGGAAATACTAAGGCATATTTTTATTTAAATAATTTGGTTTCCTGCAAGTAAACTACTTTGTCGACATTAAAAAAATACTTACCATGAAGTTTTTGCGGAATTTTTGACTTCGTAAATGTCGTGTAATTTATTTCTGCGATACAAAAATATTTATGGCGGATGTGTAAATATCCGAAAATAACAATAAAAGTATATCACAAGAAATGTTGCCAGATATTTTTTTTTATAAAAACTGTAAATTTCCGGAAAAAATTTGTGCTTTCTAACCATCAAAAAAGAAACGAGTTTTTAAAATATTAAGGTTTTTTTTTCATTTTATTAAACATTAGAAATAAAAAAACGATGCATTACATTAAACCAAACAACATAAACCATTCAAATTATACTCAACTGAACATATAAATGACATTTTGTTTTAATGAAATTCAGTTTTGTTATTTTTCGTAAATTGCTTAGTTAATATTTTTGAGTATTTGATTTGTTACCTCAATTTTAGTACGCCCTGAAGAATTTTTGTTTTTTTAATTTTTAGTTCTTAAAATACCAGCAAGTGCTGATGAGCTTTAAAAAAGGCAAAAAAAAAGGCATATATTTTTTAATTTTGTTATGTGAAGGTCCAATTAAAGATATAAAAAAATACATACAGTGGTCAAAAAATTATAGCCGAACCACTTTTTGCCTAATTTTAACGTATTATTTATGTTGAACTTTTGTTATTTTTTTTATAAAAATAAAGTGCATTCTTTAACAAAACCCGTGTAAATCCAAGTCAATTCCAAATTTGAGTAGTCCACTTGCAAAGACGCTATGTAAATTTTTTTAGATTTTTAGTTTTTGGTAAGTAACGTACCAGTATTTAGAGTAGTTTCATGTCCACTAACAATACAGTGTAAAATCTTTCTATTTTCTGAAAAATAGCATCAAATATTAACTACTTTTGCAAAAGTCGCTATAATACTAACTGTAAGTATATATACACTTTCAAAAGTCTCCATCTTCGGATGCACTCGTAAAAAATAAGCAGTCCAATCGTCATGGAAGAGTGAACGCGAAAAGCTTAAAAAAGCTGGCTATATAAAACTTACTGTTTCAAAACTCGCTATATTAAATGTGTTTATATAAAATTTGCAAAAACTACCACACTGCGATTTTGATTTTTAATGTTATTAGGCTCTTATTTATCCAAATTTTCGGATAATAAAAAGAAATATACAATTTGGAGGTTACTTGTTGTTGTAGACGTTTTTTTTTTAATTTATGGCTTACAATTATAAAATCACATAACGCTGTTTGCAAGTGCAATATTAAAAAAAAAAAATATTCAACAAACTTTCGTACGAATTTCGAACTTTTTTAAAAATTCTAAAATATTTAGCCATTTGAAACTTGTACTTTATGCTACTAGAATTTAATGGGCTACAAAACTGCATAAAATCTGTTGAATTTTTTTTTTTTTATTGCATAAAATTTTAAGGCAGTGTCACTCGGATTGGTACATTTGTTCACATTTGTACATTTTTATATTGGGCTATTGCTACAAAAAAAATGTGATACATTTTTTTGTAGTCAAAACATTGTTCTATTGAAAATTTTCAACAAATTAATTTTCGTGATTGGGATAAAGAAAAATATTTTAGGTGGTCACACAATTGAGATCCGATTTGCACCAAATTTGCATGCCACAATCGGAGGAGTAGCTCGGCCAAACACTAACATATGTCGATGGTCCTCTGCAATAACGGCACAATTCAAAATTTCCGGTTTAGAAAAAGACATAATTTGAAAGCTTACAGGATGACTGCAAATAATCCGGAATAATTATGTTCCAAGACATATTATTGCTAAATTACGCAACAAAAAATCTTTAATTGGCTCTACAGAAATATATGAAATTTTGAGTTGTGTCGTTATTGCAGAGGACCATCGATATGTAAGCGTTTTTCTATTATTATTAGTAATCATCAATACAATTTCAAATTACATAAACCCAGTCACAGCCCTTTTTTGTATTCGACGCTTTCAGAAATCACATAATAAATACATAAAATAAATAAAAGCTGTTTTGATTAATAAATATTACATAAACTGGAAACTGTTAAAAATTAGTGCGCTTGTGTACAGAGATTTTAGAACCTATTTAGTTCCTAAAATGTCTGTTTGCAACACATAACAATAAAAATTGCACATCAAATTGCTAAGAACGATGAAGTAAATCGATTCAGACATGCCTGTTTAACTGGCCGCGCGTGCACAAATACAAGCACATGTTAGTTAAGGGACTGTTCAGTGGGAAGCGGGGGTCTTGGTTTGCTTATTTTTAAAGACAAGGGGCAACATTTCTTCAAATAAGTAAAACATTAATTACACACGCACAAATTTTGCCTGCAATTTCGATCACAATTGAACACTGCACTTCACAATAGCATAAACTGTCAAAATCTGTAAGAGTGTGTGTTTGAAATTCAAACAAAATTTTTCAATTGGATATCAGAAGCCGTGCGGCCATGCCGTGCGGCGAAATACATACACAACATCAGCTGAGCTAGTAACACCACCTTATATAAATTCGCCTTGAACGCCCGTTTGCCTTAAATTTGTAAAGTTACAATTATTTTTTTTATTCTATTTACATCTGTCATTTGTTACAAATGAAGAAAAGTCCAAAAGTTGCCAAGTATAAATATTTTTATATCTATTTATTAAAATAATAATTTACAATAATAATTTATTTAATTAATACTTTATTAAAACACAAATTTGAAGTGCAAATACATTTGTAAAACTATTTCTCACAAAATGTTATTAATTGTTTGCAAGCATACTATAGTTTTCATGTATTTTGAGAACAAATAATCTAATATGTGTACATACATATCGTCGTTTAAAGTACAAAATCGCATTCTGCAAAACCGCGTAACTGACATTTGCTGTCAAAAATTGGATTTGCTCACACAAGCTCTTGGCTCAATCCTTATCCATTCGTCCTGAAATATACTAGCCAGAAATACGATTGCTTTATAAAAAAGAGAACCATTTTGAAATATGAGTGTTTTTACTCTTTAGAAGATAATTTATGCAACCTCACATGCGCGGTTTTGCATTTTCTTGATATGCGGTTTAGTACTTTAAACGACGATATGTATAGCATGAACTGACGGCGGCCGCCGTAGCAGACTGAATACATTTGCGTACTTCCACTCCATAGGACCATGGTTAAATACCTGGTCAGATCATAACCCAAAATAGCAGTCGTCCTTCGGCACGCAATGGCAAACCTTCGAGTATATTTCTGCCTTGAAAACTCTTCTTATAAAATCATTTGTTGTTCGGAGTGAGCCTTAAATATGTATGTACATAGGTGTCTCCATTTGTGCCACAACAACAGAACTCATACCTCAAGTTTGAGCAGAAGCTCGGCCAAACACTTAGAAAAATATTTTAGCACCAGATATTTATTTGTTTACTTATTTTAAGGGAGATGGCAACCTTCTGTTCTCACATTTTGAGTTTAAAAATTTCAACCCTGATACAACAAATAGTATTATTTAGTACTGAATGATAATGACAGATTGCATTCACATAAACGTACAATCAAACATGATTGAGTTTTTTTTTGCATTCAAATTCTCTATGTGAATGGGTGTCAACCATTCCATAACACACTGCATATTTTGTGTTTACAATTTGTAACAAATCTCAAGAGTGGTTGTTAAATTTTTTAAATCAAACAATCACATTTTTGAAACGACAAAAATGAGAATGCACACTCAATTGATTTAATCATTACACAGCTCTGATATATAGATAGAGGAGATAGATACATTAAAAAGCAAACCTAAGCAATCAGAGGTATGGAAGATATACCTTACCAATCTAAGTGATTTTCACTGCTGTGTGATCGGTATATAAACCGGTAATACAATTTAATGTGTTTAGCTTCCTACATAAAGGAGATACATATATCACAAAAACTGGTATCTGAACAATCTGTGGTATAAGAGATAAAGCTTATACAGCATCCATTTTGACGATTTTCTCCGTATACTATGTATTATTATTTATAAAATAGCTTACAAAATTTGTCGGTTTTAGCAGTCCAAATAAAGGGGTTTTACAGTAAAATCCCATATCTGAACAACCAGTTGTATGGGAGATATATGTTATAGTGACCCGATCTTTGTAATGTTCACTGTAAGTAATCTTTTGATAATGAGTTACAACACTGCAAAATTTGATGTCCCTAGCTACTTAAATGGAGGAGTTATAACGAAAAATCATATATCTGAACAATCAGTTGTATGGGAGCTATATGCCATGATAAAAATATAGTAAGGTAGAACCGCTGAGAGTCACTTTTAAGATTCTTGACGTTTCCAAACAATTTAATTTTTAAATTTACTCACAAACTCACACACACATTTTCATTTTCAATCTCAAGCAACAACAATTTCGAACAATTTCAATTTTTTATTTTCACTTTTATATGATTTTAAATGTTGGCAAACTTCATAAAAAATCGTGGCCGACAAATTGTTATACCTTGCTATGTTTTTATCATGCTATATGCTTTAGTGGTCCGATTCTTCCGGTTCTCCGAATGCGTAAATAGAAATCGGCAGCTTTATACCATTAGAGAGGGGTCATTGACAAGCGATGGGACCTTTGAGAAGGCGGTTTATTTGCTTTTTTAAGCTCTTATTAATCCATTTCTTTTTTATGGTAACCTTGTTCGTTTGAGCCCAATAAATACGTAGCTGGGGAAGGTGCCGAAAAGTAGCCAGTGAATGGAAACACATAGATAAGGTAACACATAATATGTACCCGTACATAGAAAAGCGTTGTCTGATTTTTTCTTTAGGGAGCTTAACGCAAGCCCAAGTTGTTTTAATGTAATAAGAGGCTTTTAGTGATTAACCGACCAACTTTCGTATAAACTGGAGTTTGAATGGAGTTTAATTAACGAAAGAGGGCAATTACAAAGATTTTTTAAGTTGTTTACATGTTTAGTGGCGGTCGCTGTGGTGTAGTGGTAAGCACTGCCCGCTTCCACTCCGCAGGGTCTGGGTTCAAGCTCGGTCCAACCCAGCACCAAAGCAAAAAAAAATTGTTTTTTCTAAGGGCGGTCGCCCTCGGCAGACAATGGCAAACTTCCGAGTGTATTTCTGCTATAAAAAACAGCTTCACAAGAAAAAATACAATCGCCGTTCGTAATCGACGCAAAACTGTAAATAGGTTTGTGTGACAACATCAAGGTGCACATTAAAAATCACTAACATACATACATATGTGTAAGCGCCAATCTATTATATTAGCATGTTTATATATTTACTTTTCTTAAGATTACCTATGTATGTGTTAATTTGTTAACGTATTTATTCTGCTGTAGCTGGTCTCAAATTAGAATTCCCTGAGACTGGTTTTGTCATAGCTAATTAAAAGTGAAGTATTTATCGAAATTCCGCAAAAAAGCGGTTATTTTTATCAATTAGTAGTATTTTACTGCCGGACATGTACAAATGTGACACATGCACTCATACATACTACATTTACGTACATATGTACATAAGCTCGTAACTACATAAAAATGTGTTTTTGTTTTTTTGCAGAGGAGAAGATGTCGATCAATCCAAATGGATATAAACTGTCCGATAAAACGGCGCGGCTCACGGCACATGGTAAGTTATATATTCACATACATATATACATATCGTCGTTTACACTGCAAAACCGCGTATCGTCGTTCTGCAAAACCGCGTAACTGACATTGGCTGCCAAAAATCGGATTTGCTCAAACAAGCTCTTGGCTCAAACCTTATCCATTCGTCCTGAAATATATTAGCCAGAAATGCGATTGCTTTATAAAAAAAAGAAACATTTTTAAAAATGAGTGTTTTTACTCTCTAGAAAATAATTTATGTAATTAGGCGGTTTTGCATTTTGTTGATACGCGATTTAAACGACGATATATGATTGCATAAAAATTTGAAAATTGAACATTTCGAAAGCTTCGTTATGGCGCCGGCCCTCCCATAGCTGGCCAAACTTTCGCAAAACCCATTCGCATACCAATCCTAATCCCAATTCTATCCGCAGCCATTACCTGACTTGTATTCGAATGTGTAAATACTTACATTCAAACATACTTTTACTTTACACACATACATAAGGCTCAAAGTAGAAACGTATGTTTTTAGCATGTTCAAGCACTGGATAAATATGTACTCCTGTACTTAAGTTGTGCCCACACACACAGTTGGCAAATGACATACTCCATATTTGTTAGTTGTGTGGCTCAACTAATAGCAACGCTTAGGCTGAAGTTTGCCAAAATACTGAATTCGCATTTACTTACAAATGTGATTCACAGATTCACTACATACAAACATACAAACTGTTTGTATTTCTAAGTGCAAAACAAAAAATATACCTACTTTTGTGCACCAGAAGCTGCCGGTGTCGGACACACTCGTCCACTGAGGTGATAAATTGCTCTACAATTCGTACCCCCCTCCCGCCCCCCTCTGTGAGGCGGCAGCATTACCGACTCCTCCTCCTCCTCCACGTTTCGCTCGCCGCCCGCATGCAAGCAACGTAGCAGCAGATTAGCCGCGGATGTGTGTGTGTGTGTGTGTTTGTGTGGCAGGCATCCCCAGCAGCAGCGACGCGACGTTAAGAAGTCAAAGTCATCCCCTTTCCTGTGTGCGGCGAGTGAGTGTGTGTGCGGCTGAAATTCAATACACGGCACAGGCATAAACCGTTTAGTCACAGGATATTACGTTCGTTTACATGTCACTGGAATTCCGCTTATTTATTACGTACGCACTACGTATGGCTGTATACTTACGTACTAATGCAAAAGCTATGCGATGTTGGTTTTCCTAACTGGGGGAGTTGGGTGTTGGGTGGTGGTTGTGTGGTGTGTAACAATTTTTGCAGCTCAGTTTTACTTTACATCGTCGCTCATTCTTCGGGCCTAAAAATCCTTATCAGTCCATCAGTCTATCAGTCGTTGACGTGCGTATGTGCTGCTTCCTCTTCCTTTTGTAAACAATCCGATTTTTATCAGTCGGTGCTTATGAGTTTGTTCGTATGCATGTGCGGGTATGGCATAGCGAATGCGACCATCAACGTGTTTTTAAATTGAATTTGAAGAGCAGAGTAAGCAAATAAACGATTTGGTAAGGATTCACTGGAATTTTTTTTTCGAGCAGAAAGAGGCAGATACTGTTGATTATTCGAGAAATAAGGACATTTGTGAACTAGCAGGGTGGCATATTATTTTAAATTCTCACGCCACTACAATTGCACTAGGAAAAGAAAATTTAATTTCTCGGGCGATTTCATTTCAAGAATGCAAATAAAAATTAGTGTCTGGCAATTAAGTTTCACTGTTGAATACAATTTCATGGACTTGGCATCTAATTTAAAAAAGGTGGAAGGTGCATACTTACGTATGTATGTATGTACGTATTTTCATACATATGTATGTATTCATTCTTTTACGAAAGAGCGCAAACTTTATATCCTAGTTGGATCAAAAATGTTCGCCATTTTCCTCATCACATTGCGATGTTATGCCAATTATACATACACACAAGTAGACACGTGCTTCTTCCGAGTCATAGGATCTTTTCATAGCGGCGTACGACATATCCAGGGTACTGCGGGTAGATTTTGGAGCCCTCTTTTTTCAGCCGAAGAGGGTGTGGTTATCCTTCAAAGGGGCTACGAGGATTGCACACCAAGATCTTGCAATTAAGGCTCGCTAGAGATTCCTAAAGTCAGCTCACAAAACCCAGACCATCGCACAAATTCAGCCAGATCCATTCGAAGAGGATCAGAGATCCTATGGTGAATAGTTCTGCTGCATATAAAGGATTCTGCTCTTCATTCACTACTTCAAACCTATAACTGCCAACAGTGTTAAGGATTACCATGTCATTATCATCTGCGTACGCCAGCAGCATCGTGCTTTTGTTATATAAAGAGCGACTGCGATTCATATAAGCAGAAGTCTCCCTTGTTGTGAAAACCGCGTTTGGTCTCGAATGGAACGTCGACAGGGCCTTGCTAATTTGAACGGAAATGAAAGTTATACTCAAAGTCCTTATTCATATGATCTCTAATGGATTCCAAATTTAGACTTGCATCGTATAGGGATATGGTGTTTGCCCTAACAGCTCTTCTTCACCAGCTTCCAACAGCTTATACCGTCGGCCACGGGGGCTTCGTTGTTCTTAAGTTGTTTTATTACTATTCTCACCTCTTCTTCGTCTATTTGAGGAATATCTCTACACACTGGTCAGGGTTCTTCTTCACCCCAAACGTGCCAGTGGTGTCGCCATTCAAAAGCGTTAAAAATATTTTCCACCATATCTCAAGTGTAGTCTGGATGTCTGTTAACAGATTTCCATCTTCCCACTGAATTCTTCTTTTTGATGTCTCTCTCCTACTTCCTGTATCGCTCAATTGTCGCTCGCGTCGACATTAGCCGTGAGTAGGCTTTGTAGGGTGTGTATTTTTCTGCAGCACCACAAGACACTCTTCTCTACCTCTTTTGCTCATTTATTTCCCGACGCTCAGAGGCCGGAGAAGCCATGTTTTGCGCGAAAAATGAGAAGAGCTGTTACAATAATAACATAACTGCAGGATCGTAGTATTGTTGTAATGCTAAATCCGAAAATGGCATAAAATTTATAGTTTGACAGTTGACAGCTGTCAAATCAACTGCCAATTTCTGCAAAAATAATAAATCTTTTTGAAAATATAAGTGGTTAGGTTTTTGGGCACGCTAGACACGAACTTTATGTCAAATTAAAACTTTGACAGTTGACAGCTGTAAAATGGACTGAATTTTTCTAAAAATAAGACAATCTTTTTGAAAATGCCACTTATTAAGTTTTTAGACATGCTGATCACGAATTTTATCTCAAATTAAAACATTGCGAATTGACAGCTGTCAAATGGACTAATGGAATCAGTTTTCTCATTTTTAAATAAAGTTATTCAGATTTAAATTTTTGGAAAAATTTCGGACGTCACATTGGATTTGCATTTTGAATTTTCAGTAACTAGTTAACAATTTTTAAGTCTTGGATGCCATATTGGATTTTTGAAAATTTACTTCAGGTTTATTAAGACACACCTTATAAATTATATGATGCTTAATATAGAATAAATTACATTAATCACTTTTAATACAATTTATGTTATTTGGAACAACTGCTAAAGTTGGTCTAGTGAAATAAAAATGGCCGCCACTCTTTTTGGCGCCAGTGTGCGCGGCTTTCCTTTTTCGATGCCTTTGCAAAACCGCCTAGATATGACCTGGGTCGAGTCACTTTTGAAATCTAAATTCGAATTCGAAATTTTTAATTCTTTCAAAAACATAATGTTTTAATATCTCTGACTTCGGAGCTCTAGAATTTCGAAAAGGAACTCACTCACAAAACTGATTTTAGGGTTAGGACTCCTCCTTTATTTACAACGACACTCTTTTTTATTTGCACTCAAATGCGCAAGCAACTTGTTCAGCCCTTCTGTTACTCTAGCAAAACCAAATTCTTCAAATAACTAACTTCAACAACTGAGTAGAAAAACACGAAATTAATTTTGAATACGAAAGCTGATGAATGATGCTTCCCATTCCTCATTTTGGGCGCCAGCTGTACGACCTTGCGTGGGTCGATTGCCATATTGCCGCACTCGTCGCCCACTTCGGGGCTATACAAAACTACCACCTCCCACTTCCAAGCCATTTTATGCCCACACACACTTACTCGCCAAACACATACACACACACTTTTCTGTATGGCACTCGCCTTATTATTATTGTTATACCGTTGTTTATGGCCCAACCACATTCGATGGCACAACAACAGCAGCTGCCACGGACGATCATCCAACATCAAGGGGGAGATTTTCAATCAGTACGCGGTAGCCGCAATTTCCTCCAGCAAACTAAGAATATTTTCATCTTTTATGCTCTGTCCGGTGTGTTTGATTATCGTAGCGGGTTTGGTAAGAAAGAGAAAAAGAAAAGCTTTAAAATGCAATCTGATTTTTATGGACGGCCAGGAAACGAAAAATCAGATCAGCCACACTTAATGGGCAAAATTTGCAATTTTCTTTGGTTTTGTTTTTTTTTTATTGAATAGCGTGTGGAGGAGAAGCAGGAGGACAAGTCATATTCATATATCATGAAGCGGTAGATAAAAAAAAAACGGAAGATATGTGCATATCGCTTTAAGAGAAAGTAAATAAAACGGGGCAAAGAGAATTATGAAAATATTTTCGTCATTGCTTGATAAAAACACTGTGCAATAATGAAATGAAGTCTTCAGGTGTCCAAGTACAGGTAGTAGGGCTGACCGAATATTTTCATTTTATTTAGTCAATGGTAACAAACCTTACTGACTAGATTAACAAAGTCACTTAATAATAATTTAACAACTAAATTAAAGAGCTGGTTAATTTGCTAAATAGTAAAGGCAGAACATCGTAAAATCAAGATCATTAATTAATTTATTCTAGAAGCTATTGAACTCTCAAAGGGAACTCGTCCAATTATTCTGATTTTACTACACCATGTTAATTTTTTTTCTTTTCAACTTTGACCTTTGGTCACTTTATGAACGAAATCTCGTAAATTTTTCATCCCCTCGAATCTCTTCATTGAAAAACTATAACTTTTTCTTTATTTTGCCTTGCAGACCTGCTGCCGACTACAGTCAGCGCCACTGCTGAAACCCGAGAGTTCCTCCAAAAGGTCATCGATGTCCTCTTGGATTTCGTGAAGGCGACCAACGATCGCAACGAGAAGGTGCTTGAGTTCCATCATCCAGAGGAAATGAAAACGCTTATCAACTTGGAGATACCTGATCGCGCAGTGACGTTGCAGCAGTTGATTGAGGATTGCGCCACTACACTCAAATATCAGGTGAAGACTGGTAAGTACGCCAACTACCGAATAACCAAAAGTTTTTATACGAAACATGAAAGTTGAAGAAAATCCTAATGAAAGTTAATTGAATAAGTAAAGTTAGTTGATAAGCGCGCGGTGTTTTTACTTCCACTGTCAATGTGATACCGGGCGGGAATTGGTGGGCGCTCACTTTGTACATATTTTGCTTGGCGTTAATTTTATTTGGAAGCAAAAAAAAAACAAACAATTGCAGCAGAATAGAATTCATTAAAAAGTTTTGCTCACAAAATAAGCAAATAAAAACAGCAGCCGATAGCCGCCTTACCGTCCGGAAGCCAATGTCAACGCTGACACTTCCGCAGCAAGACCAACAAATCCGGTTGGTGGTGGAACGCTGCGTTTAAGTGTCTGCCTGTGGCAAATATCCATGTTTGTTGTAACTATGTATGTATGTGGCACGTCCCGTCTTCGAAGTGCCATAAATACGCTTATTATCGCTACTTCAAACAGAATTGCGGTCACGTGGCAAATTCGATTAGGAAGCGCTCGCAGGGGCGGGCAACGACACAGCACGCAGCGACAATAGAATCAGTGTAGCATTCAACGACGCAAAAGTTCGGCGCTTTGTGGCTGCCACACGACTTTTGGCTTTCAATCCTTTGGTGGCATGCGATTTTGATTGATTTGGCACTTACGACAACCACAATATTTGTCAGCAAAAAAAAAAAACTAAAGTAGATGCTCTAAAATCCACGAAACTTTTCCCTACGATACAAGCGTTTGTGTGGTTGTGTGCCACGTCTGCAAATGAAAGGTGTAAATTTAAGAGTCTGGATTCAATGGGCCATAAAATGGCATTAGAGCGTTGATCTGGTTATCTACCCATTGTTCGCTGTCCACATTGTGTTTGTGTCTATCTGCTACCCTAATGCGACCGCAAAGCAGCCAAGCACGTCTTTCCAACAAAGAGACATCATGCCGCGCTTGGCGGGTGGGAGCACCAAGCATATGCTAGCTGGTGACTCTGGTAATTATTATTCAAATATTATGCAAAGACAAATTTGATTTTGAATGAGTGTCGAAACTGTAGTCTCTAAACAGCGGATGATTTGCTCGAGAAGCCACTGCTGTAAATATAATCGGATGTTCTCGTCAACCTGTTCAAACATTTCACAGCGAGATAAGCTCGGAATTCAATTATGCAAAGGCGAACAAAGCTTGACTCTTTCAAAAAAAAAAAAAACAGTAAATAATATTAGCAAAATAATAAGTTTTATTATTACGTTCGTCCTCTTATTTCTTCTAAGAAAGAATTATGCCAAAGCCAGGCACTCCTTCTATCTTTACATTTCGGGAGGTTGAGCAACTAATCTTTTACAAATAGAAGCATTTACTCCATATTGACTTTCTAAAGGCGAGCTAATTATTACATACCCAAGACTTTCATATCCTATAATAATAGTAATAGATTTGCGCTTACACATACATATGTCAGTATTTGGCCGAGCTTCCCCTCCGATTTGTGACGTGCGTATTGATGTTGTTACGCAAAGGGGAGGCATCTACGGTTTTACGCCGACTCCGAACGGCGATTGTATTTTTATGAGAAGCTGTTTTTCATGACAGAAATACACTCGGAGGTTTGCCATTGCCTGCAGAGAGGCGACGGCTATTAAGAAAAAACCTTTTTCTATATTTTTTTGCGATGTTGCTTTGACCACGGCTTGAACCACTACATCGCAACGGCCAACCATATCCTATAATCAAACAAATTTAAATGCTTATCTAGCTTAGAGCATTTTTTTTTTTCGTTGGAGGTCTGTGCTGGACATGGACTGATCGCCAATGATCGCATCGCAGGTGAGAGTTGCACTGTGCTCTTATTTTTAGAGCTACAAAAATTGTGCCTGAACAACGTTCTACACTGAGGGAAAAAAATATTAAAATCAAATAGAAACGTAAATGATCTTACTATAAACGTCAACGAAAGTACTGTATATTGGTAAATATTCAATTCAATTACGCGCATATTAAAATGACCGCGTTCGTACTGAAAAAGCAACCTCGAATCAAGACAAAAACTAAAAAAAAAAATTTAATTTGCATGTTGCCTGCAGTGGAATTCGAACCCGACCATTTCCGGATATCAACAACTTGTGGCAAGCATCTTTGCGCACTCCGCTACACCCAGGCATATAAATCTGCTTTCAAATGTTGAATATCCATCAACACCACAGCACGCGATTTGTACTATGTATGCACGTGTGTATTGTCGTCGCTCTCAGAGCGGCGCTCTGCATGCTTGGGGTGCGTATACACTTACATATACATAGTCAGATGTGAACAGTCAAATACGTGCGTAATAAATTTTGTATGAAAATATTATTTTTAAATACGAACATTTTTAAACGATAATCAAATATAAAGTATTCATTTTTACTATGCATTATTTCCCTCAGTGTAGGGCCAAGAAAGACTCCCGCTATGAGGCTACTATTAAAATAGTGCTTATGTATATACGAATTTGAACACCACTACGAGAGTATTTCACGAAATTTATATTTTTCAGTAAAAACAGCTAAATCGCTTTTTTTCTATAATTGTTTTGTTCGACGTCTATACATCGTAGTTCAGTAAAAAAAGTCTAAAGTTGTACATGGGTACATACATATAACTATTCTCATGAATCATAAACTTTGCAAGTTATGTATGTTCATTTGTCTGAAACAGACACCATGTACGCAATATTATGTGTCAGAAAAATTATCTCCACGTCAAATTAAAACCCTTCTGCAAGACAAAATTTTAACCAATTATTGTTAAACAATAGCAATTGTACAAGAGTTCACTTGTATGAAATCTTCATCATGGGAGTGTATTTTTAAGCTTCTTACTATTGATTGCCGTTTTCAGAAAAAAAATATAAGTTCTTAATTTGACACGTTAGTATAATCTGGGGAAAGTGTGTAGGCTTTTTTAATACCTTTACAGCGGACATCAAATAAAGAAGTTATAGAACAACGATTTAGCTGTTTTACAGGGTGCCGAAAAATATTATTTTACCCCCCTGAAATACTCTCATAGTGAGTGTTGAAGAAGATTGACCGTCTAATGTACAAACATACGAACATTGGGGCTATTTTTTTTTTTAAATACAAATACCTGTGGTGGCAAACTATCGGCCGTTGTATAAAACTCCCGAAAATAAGATTTTATATAGTAAGTACGAAAAAAGCTCCCGGCACCGGTACAGCGAAAGAAAAGTTACCAAACTGGCAAATGACTGAAGGGAATATCTGATTTTCACTAACCTTCAATGACAAAAGTACGAATATCAACATGCACAGGTTTTTACATACATAAGTTTTGGCAACATGCAGCCTTACGATGCCTTACTCTCTTTGCTGGGCGCAATATTCTTCCAGTTTCTGATGATAACTGCTTTCGAAAAATGGAGTTCCTGGTCTGTACCCTCTTAAGCCAAATTTCTCATTATTAGGCACTCCTGCGGGACCAGTTACCCAGAATAAAACAACAGAAATTAAAGCTTATCCCCATATAATACAAACTCCAGATCCTGAACCGATGCCAATTTTTGAGCCATTAGAAAAGATTCGACAATGTGTAATGCTCGGGCCTAGTGTTGGGATTAAGCCAGCACACAGCCTCAGTTAACTCACACAAAAGGTGCAAAGTGTCGCAATACCCGGCGTTGTGGCGAAGGCTCTCGCGGATTTCGCCCGATGTTCATAGAGATCATAGAGATATTGGGCCGGAGGATCTCACTTTGCAACTCATCCTAAAATACTTAAAAACATAAGTGCTTAAGTGTTATTGAATATATACTAGGGACGGTAATCATTATGAGTAAAATAATCAAATCATCATTTAATCATTATTTTATGATTTTTATATTTTTTCGCGCTCAACGTAAATCATTATTATTTCATTTTTATTTTTTCAATCACAAGTAATGATTTTAGATATGTATATCAATTATTATTGAGTTTTATTTTTCGACCTAAAAATAATGATTATTATTAAAAATTTAAAAAGTCCTACAGATGCAACCAACTGAAATTTTGACCTGAAAGTTTTGGCCCTTATTCCTTTTACTAGGATGTCGCTGCCTCTGAAAAAGATACATCGGAAATCAAGCTGGTATAGCTTTTGAGTTTTTTGAATGGTCATTATTCTTAAGTGAAAAATTAAACCTAACCGATAAGCATTGTGGCGAACGTGCGAAAATGGTCTTCGATATCCAATATTAATCGAACTGAGAACGAACTCATAACCAACCTTAGTTTTCCAACGTTTATAGTATATTGGAAATACACTCGAAATGCATTAGAATTGTTAACCAAACCTATTGTTTATTGGGCAATAATAATTATTATCTTTGAGCATAAAAGTAAAACTAAAATATTAATTATGATTTTTAATCTTTATTGGTTAAACTGGAAAAATAATAATCGTTGTAAATTCCAGTAGGACGTACGAACACCAAGTACGTGAGTATAGTTAAAAAAATATTTTTTCGACGATTACAACTTGTAGATTTTTCGGTCAAAATTTAAAAACAAATGACTATTTCCCATCCCTGATATATGTATACCTTAGAAGTCAGCCAATCTGAGTATTTTTGTATTTAGTATCCAAAACAAGAACTTAAGTATGCCCGTCACTGGTTTTCACCAATTGTTAAAATTTATTAGGCAAAAACTTATTAAAAAAGGTTTCGTGAACAATTAATTATGAAATCATTCTAATTGAAACTAAAGTATTGTATAACGCAAAAATGTTCGCAAAATATTCCAAGTATAAAATTCTAACTTCGCTGCGAACGCAAAAGTAATCCGACATTGACTTGTCTATTTTTCAATGACTTTTACGTTTAACTTTAATGCACACGTCATCCAATCTCACCTAACCACTCAGAAGCTCTTACTTACTCTACGGCAGGCATACGAATTCCCTTGCTTTCATTTCGTAACTGCGATAAAAATCCCATTTATGATCCATAATCCCACGTAATCCCCCGCACTCCATATTGGCAACATAATATTCTGATGCCACGCCACACTCCCAAACGACCATACATACATACATACATACATACACAGGTACATAAACACAACCCAACTGTGTGTGCGCGCATTCGCCCTCCATAGCCTGGCATCAAGCAGACGCAAATGTCAGTATGACAATGCGCCCGGAGTTGGAGGTGTTTCAATGTCAATGTGTCCGTACATCCGTATGTGTGCCGGAGAGGAGAGAGCTTTAATCAAAATCCGTTGTTATTTTCTGACTCGCTGCACGCTGATCCTTTGATGCGAATGAATGGCCGAATGCTCGAATGAATGACTAGCGAAGGCTGCGGGAGGACGCAGAGGCCAGCAGCAGAGACTGGGCGAAAGTATTTGTCTGTGTGGCTGTGTGCATTTGGCCAACTGTGCCACTGCCACAGCGACACCCCGTGCAAATTGAAATGTTTGCCTTCGTTAAACCCTACAGATCCCGTCAAGACAAATGGTACACTCCATGCTGGCCTCAGCTGGTCCGCTGCTTGGTTCGCATGAATGGCGGCAGCTTTCAGGGCTTCAGGCAATGGGTTTTTTAATCACACGACTTATGGCACCCAGCGCATTTGAAGAGACAGCCAGACCTAAGACGAAGGGTTCGCTTTGGGCCCATCATCCCCCTATGAAGTTCAATGTTTACCCTTCCTTCTCCTTTTCTTGCTTTGTTCATTCAATACCGACGGGTTCATGTACCGAGTGTTATCCTTTGTTTGCTATTTGTATTTTTGTTTACTTTTGTATTTGTTTCTTATTTGTTTGCGAATTCATTCAGTGCTCTGCTGGGGATTCCGCCCGCTTCTCAGCTGGCTGCTGTGGTGCAGTAATTCGCAATTAGCTACAATAAATGAGCAATTTATGAACCCACTAACACAGCGCAAGTGTGCAGTGTGAGCTTCAGAGTATTTGGAGCACTAAATACTGGGCATTACTTTCACTTGTAGTCAGCAATCAATTGTGCTATTTTATATAATTTTTTTTTGTTTAGGATTTCTACATATATTTACATACATACATACACACGTACATAGGAGCGAATCCATATAAAGAAGCTGTATCGATTTAACATTTGAAATAATCAAACGAAAGCGGAAACGCCAGATGTGCCGGAGTCTGTCGGCCGTTGGCCGTACCGCGTTGACCTTGTTGTCTCGGCTGTAGCCTCGGCCTAGAATGCGCGCAACTGTATTGAATTGCGCTCATGCATGCTTCCCGATGCTCCACAAAAGCCTGCAATTTTATAAAACATACAATAAAAATATGAATACTTATTCTCGTTCGTCGATGTCTGGACCGTTTATTGTCTCAGCCGTACAGGGTGGGCACATTATTTACGCTTCTTGGTTGCATTTAACGCATTACTCAGAATGGAATAGAAACAAAAATTGCTCTTTTCTGTTTGACAAGAGTAAGCCCGTTCATTCACCAGATTCACTTTAGTGGGGGCAGAGTGTACATGAGTATGTATGTATGTTTGTACAAAGCTGCCAAGCGCATCTGTTGCCAGTCGAAGTCGCATTGACGCTCGTCTATCGTCTGTCTCAAACTGCTGCTCAAAACAATTACGCTGAGTGACGTTGTGACAGACAAGCGGAAATAATCGAAAAGCTCGCTTAGGCTTCCTCATAATATATGTGTATTAAAATATTTCACCGGCAATGAAGAGTGAATTTAAAACTAACTAGTGAACCCTCGTTAAAGCGCCCCAAATTGAATATAACTTTTTAAAAATTTCATCTCAATCCGTCCAGCCGTGTCGGAATGAAGAGAACTCTCGCTTGGTGTCGGTTTATCAATACTTCAAATTTGAGACCACCCTGTACCGCTGAGGAGTTTTAACTTCAAACAATAAAACCTTATTGCACATTTATGAGTCCTGTTCTTTAATTTGACATTTCATTTTTTTTTTTAATTCAAATTAGCGGTGCAAATCTGACGTCCTTCACAAAAAATGCCTTCGCTTATTGGTTGATTTTTGTTTTAACTGACAACGTGAGCCATATTTCAATTAACTGATTAATTTAATTGAATTTTAATTTTTGAAACACATGGCAACTCTCCTAAGCACAGATCAGAAATAAATCAATTTTAAACCCATTACGATTGATACCCATTCTCTGGTAATTCATTTAACGTAGTAAATGATTTGAATTTAACTCTTTTACCAGGTGGCAACCCTCTTCCAAAACCTCAAACAATTTATAATTGTTTAAACTAAAAAATTTCTTAATACGCTACGCTTTGACAGCCCTTTTTCAGTTTTTATATTTCATATAATTCGTGAAGTTAACTTAACTCGACTTTTAAAACATGTGGCAACCCTTTTCAAAATATTTTTAGCTACAACCTTCTTAAAGTTTCATACATCCGGTGCCACCATCTTGGCCTAGTTATTGATTCCTTTCATTAGTGCCATTTTCTAGGGTTTATTACTTCTTTTCAAATAAATGCATTTTATATTCCCTATTCTCTAACGCAAAAATTTTTGGACAATTACAACTACTACTAGATTACAACTTCTTCACAACAATTATCTGAAAACAATTCGCCTCATTTTCCTCATTGTACTTCACAGGACATCCACACTTCTTCAATCAGCTATCATGTGGATTGGATATCGTCTCCATGGCTGGCGAGTGGTTGACTGCAACTGCCAATACCAACATGTTCACATACGAGATTGCTCCCGTTTTCATATTAATGGAGAATGTGGTACTATCGAAAATGCGTCAAATCATTGGCTGGGAAGGCGGTGACTCAATATTGGCACCAGGCGGCTCGATCTCCAACTTGTATGCCTTCCTGGCCGCGCGTCACAAAATGTTCCCCAACTACAAGGAGCACGGAGCCGCCGGCCTGCCCGGCCAACTGGTAATGTTCACCTCTGATCAATGTCACTATTCGGTAAAGTCTTGCGCTGCCGTGTGCGGTCTCGGCACAGATCACTGTGTGATGGTGCCCTCAGATGAGCATGGCAAGATGATCATCCCGGAATTGGAGCGTTTAATATTGGAACGAAAGGCCAAGGGTCACATTCCATTCTTCGTAAACGCCACCGCCGGTACCACAGTATTGGGTGCCTTCGACAACATCAACCAGATTGCGGATATTTGTCAAAAGTACAACTGCTGGTTACACATTGATGTAAGTAAATACATACATACATACATACATATTTATGTACATAACTGAGCAAAGTGAAAACAACGAAAATTTGTAAAAAGGAGAAAAATTCAACTTTGTTTATGGAAATGTCGTTTCAGGCCGCTTGGGGTGGTGGTCTGCTCTTGTCGCGCAAATATCGTCATCCCCGACTCTCTGGGATTGAGAGGTACGTATTAAGAGTCATGATGAACACATACTAATTTGCATATGTCCGTATGTTTACAAATACACAACAAAGTACGTATTGTATTAGTAAAAATATGATTTTTCAAAGAATTATGTATGTACACTAGGGTGGTCCTTAAATGTAGGAAGCAAATTTTTCTCCAATCAGACCAAAGTTTATATGTGATATCTTCTGACCGTGGTATTCTTGATTAAGGGGCTGAGACTAAAAAAAAATCGTACATTTGATTTTTTAATGACCACCCTAATGTATATATATATATATGTATATATGTCTGCAGAAATTTCAAGCGTGATTGATTAAGAGCGCAGTACTGCATGGCCGCAGGCTGGTGTTACTTTTGATTTGGATGCTAAGACTTTCTTTTTGTATGGTGTGCTTGTATGTACATTAAAGTGGTCCAATTTTTGTATGGGGAAAAAATTTGCATCCTAGAAAACGGAGCACCTCCTTAGTTTTTTCCTTTTAATATTTGAAATATCTGCACCAACTTTCAGTTTTCTACTGCAACCAATACTGGGTGCTCAATGTTCTTGAATATTTGTGATATTTTTTTAGATAATTTAAATTTGAGATGTTCTTAGGTTACTTAACCAACTGTTTGATTAATACACATATGTACACAATATCTTCTCAATTGAAAATGAAATGACACAAATTTGCCTATTTCATTTTTGCTTGAACAATAAGAACAACTTTTAAATTTTACAATTACATACATAAGTAATAAAGCATAAAAGTGCACAGAGTCACCCAGTTACATTTGACAAAATTTTGGAAATTGCCATTATGACCACATTAATTAAGGGGCTTTATGTCCGTTTGAAATGGTCATAATGTCAACTGACTTTATGGCCGCTTCGAATTCGCTTTTATGGTCATCTACTTCATTTTGGGTTGACCTCATGACAATTTTGAAAAATAATAATAATAAAATATCACTACTAGTTCACTGCTGAAAATTTTTAAGTTAACAAATAGAAAGTTTCAACAAAAAATTAGTACAACAACAAGTTAAAAAGACGAACATGTAAGAGTAAATCTCACGAGTGGTTTTTTATTGTCACTCCCCTCTCGGCAGAAAAAACGTTAAAGCATAAACAGACGGCAGTGTTGATCGGGATCAACTCGGGAGTTAACTGCGGTTGATCCGAATTAAGTCCGAGTTAATCCGGATCAACGCTGCCGTCTGTTTAAGCCTTTAGGCGAAAAAGTACCGAAATTAATAATTTTTTTCATTGTTAAATACTTTTAAATAATATGACTTTTAAGTTAAGGCGTGCAAGTAAACATGTTAGATGACTTTTTACGGTGCTACGAGGCGTTTACGTTACATACGCAACTACGGCTATATGAGCAAGAGTGGTTATTTTTACTTTTTGTACCCGAGCGCACTTGTGCACAGGTGTATTATAACTTTGTTCACATAACGGTTGTTTGTATCAACCAAAACGAATCGAGATAGATATAGACAAATGTATACATAAATGATCAGAATGAAAAGATAAATCGATTAAGCCGCGACTGTCTGTCTGTCCGTATACACGATAACTCGAGCAAAAATTGAGATATTTCAACGAAATTTGGTATGTAGATTGCTCTTTACCCAAGGTATGTTGGTATTGAAAAAGAGCGAAATCGGACCATAACCGCACCCATTTCCCATATAACGGTGATTTTCAGAAATACGAAAACTGCGATATTTTAGTAACTACTGAAGGTTATTCTCTAAAAATTTACATACATTTACAATGGTATTAGACGAAAAATAAGAATATTATAAATTTTTGGAAAATGGGCTCAGCCACGCCCACTTAACCGCTATACCAATTTCTCCCGTACTTAGCAAAGTTGTTAACAACCTTGGTACTACATACCAGCCGGCTGAAAATATTTAAAATCGGACAATAACCACGCCCACATCCCATATAACGGTAATTTAGAGAAATACGAAACCTTCGATAAATCAGTCAGTTCTTTATTCAAACTTGATGCCTGCAATAGCTCTTTAGCAAAAAATTGTTACGATTACTTGGTACGATTATTTTGCTTACCACATAAAAGCAAAACGTTAAAAATTATTGAAATCGGACTAATATTACGCCCACTTCTCATATAACGTTATTTCGAAATTTAACGACACTAATTTACTCAAAATTGATACTAACAGCAATCTCTGGAAAATAAGTAGCATTATTATGGGGTTTTGGAGAACGGGCGTAGTGTAAAGGAAAGTCAAGATTCTTCGTATGCGGTAATCTCGAAAACTACTGAACGGATCTCGATAGGAGAGTGACATTTTGTATTTAGAATTTGAATAGGGTTGCCGCCTGTCTAAAAAAAATTTAGATCCGCACCGTTCATTGGATTACAAAAGATGAGGTGTTAAATGAAAGGGATTGGCCTCTAGAAAATCACTAATGTTTTATTTTTTTGAATAGGGTTGCCACCTGTTAATAAAATTACTATATTCAATAATAGTAAGCGTACGCATCAGTTCTGCACCGTCACTGTCAAACGGATGGACTTAGCCTCTACATGTGTAATAATGTATTATTTTTCTGATTAAGGTTGCCACCTTTTAATAAGTTTAAAATATTCGCCGTTTGTTGGATTACAAAATGGGATACCAAATCAAGCAGCATAGTCTTCACATGTCGGAAAGCTTTCATTTTTTGGAGAGAGTTGCCACCTAATCAGAAAATTACTATCTTCCTTACATAGGATAAAGGAAACTCGAGATATTTCTCAAAAACTACTAAGCGGATTTAGACCAAATTGTTTAAGTGTGATCTATATCGCAAGATATATTATCTTTAGTACTTTAAGTTCCTATAGGGTTGCCACCTGTCTAAAAAAAATTAAGATCCGCACTGTTCGTTACAAGAAATAGGGTGTCAAATAAAAGGGCTCGGCTTTTAGATGTTCAATAATGTATTACTTCTTGAGTAGGGTTGCCACTTTTTAAAAATTATAAACTTGTTAAGTGTCTCGGCAACCGATCCAGACAAGAAACTTATTGCCTCCTTTTGTCTTTTCTTATTTGCAATATTTTCTTTTTTTCAAGAAGTAGGTTCGAAGCTTGCCGAGCGCTTTGAGATAAGAAGGAACTGAAAAGTTTGTTTTAGTGGCTGTCACTTGGCAGGATATAACAATTATGCCAGAAAATAAATAAAGCGGCTAGAGTGGCGTTTAACTTGCGCATAGACGGGCAAATTGTGCAATTCTAGTCACCCAAAGTCAAATGTTTTATGTACAACAAAATGTTTGCTTGCCCATCAAAATTCGAATATTTCGTTTACTCACGAAATATACCTATTGGGAGTATTAGAAATATTTTAAATTAAGTAAACTCAAATAAGTTTCATCTAATGTGCTTTAAAAATTATCGACACCCATCGATCCCACTGAGTATCCATTAATCAAATGTTTTGCGGTTTTCTTAAACTTAATTTGAGCCGGAGGCTTGATGCTTGTCATGCTGCCTCAATTAATGGTACGCTTCGAATACATTATTTTGAAAGCGTCAATTAAAAAAACGTCGCTACATTAGTAGTAGTGGCACACAAACTCTCAAACAACAGATTCTTGGAAGAAAAGCGATTGGCCAACTTGCATAACCGCAACTTAACATAATTGAACTGTGTGAAGCAGCGAAGGGCTCATGAATGCCTTCAGATTAGTGGTTAGACTCACTCGAGTTACTGCCGTGGAGTGAGCTAAGTACTATGCTCCTTTATTCTTCGAATAGAGAAAATAAAATAAAATAAAATAAAAGCATAGCATTAGGCGCTCAACGGCCGTTGATGGATATGGTAATCAATTTGCGAGTACTTAGGCCATTTAAGGATTAGCATAGTCTAGTGCTGTCGCAAGCTTTCAAACTGCGGCGAAAACAACAACAAAACCAACAGCCTCCATGGCATTCGAGTTTTTACTTACTTACTCAAGTTACGTAGTTGCATACATTTCGGGAGCGGCAGCTTCTTCAACGAACTGGGGCTTAAGTTAAGCTGACAGTGGTTGAGACAGCTGGATGGAGAGAAGTGCATTTACTCTGCTACTATACATACATATCTACATACTCGCACATATATACATACATACATACATAGGGAAGATATCGAGCTCTAACCGTCAAAATACCGTAAGCGACATTTTTTTCAAAATTTTATTTTTGATGCAGAAATGCATCTAGATGCTCTAGGAATATTTCTGCATCAAAAAGAAAATTTTGAAAAAAATTTCGCTTACGTTATTTTGGCGGTTAGGGCTCGATATGTGCACAGTTTGTTTTATTGCATTCCACTGTTTACGAATTTAACATTCCATGCCGTCGGAATTATTCGAGAAATGCCTCCCTTCTACACAAATGCGCAACAAATTAAACTTTTTAATCGAAAATTCCTCGAGCCTTTAAATGTAGCCACCCGCACCACCGAACAGCAAACTGAACTGATGAATAGGTTTCGATGCATGTGCAGAGAGATGTGTGCGCAATGGATGCCGCAAGTGTTTTCCCTTATTTTACATACTTAAATTCATCATGCCACCACCACCATCAGCCTCGCCACCATCAATTACTTTACAATTCACGCCTCAATCACTTCACTCGT